TGACATTGCTGCCAAGCTTCTGTGTTTCCATGGCAATGAAATGCAGTAAGACCCAGCAGTATACCGTTACTTCTCCAGCCAATTGCACTGAGAGGAAAGCAGGAGTGGGGGGGGGGGGGGGGCACGGTTTGACTACAGACGATACAGGCACGTTGTGCGCTTGCACAGCGTGCCTGTATTTCCAGCGGAATGACACAAGGGGGGAGATTTACTAAAACGGGAGCACTCAAAATCATGTGTAGCTGTGCATAGTAGCCAATCAGCTTTTAATTTCAGCTTGTTCAATCAAGTTTTGACTATAAAACCTGGAAGCTAATTCATTTCTCTGCACAGTTGCACCAGATTTTGGACTCATCAGTTTTAGTAAATCTCTCCTAAGATGTAAACGGACCACATTAGCATGGAACAGTAGCCACGCTAGCGGGGTCACTTTATTATCAGGAGGAAGGACACCGGCAAGATCAACCAGGTATTATTCAACTCAATACAGGCAGCACTGAAAGAAATAGCAACATTACAAAGCATATTATGTTAACCATTTGCCCTTCAGAGGATTTACTCCCCTTCTTGACCAGGCCATTTTTTGCGATACAGCGCTGCGTTACTTTAACTGACAAATTGCGCGGTCATGCAATGCTGCACCCAAATGGAATTTATGTCCTTTTTTTCCCCCACAAATAGAGCTTTCTTTCAGTGGTATTTGATTGCCTGTGCCTTTTATTTTTTGTGCTATAAACAAAAAAAAAAAGGCAATTTGGGTAAGGTGCGCACCCCCTACCCAGAAATGAAAAATTGTGTGTGTGTTTGTGCGTACATCCCTCACTTTTTTTAAAAATATTTTTATTATATCTCTTCATGTGAAAACACTGAAGAAATTACACTTTGCTACAACGTAAAGTAGTGAGTGTACAGCTTGTATAACAGTGTAAATTTGCTGTCCCCTCAAAATAACTCAACACACAGCCATTAATGTCTAAACCGCTGGCAACAAAAGTGAGTAAACCCCTAAGTGAAAATGTTTAAATTGGGCCCAAAGTGTCAATATTTTTGTGTGGCCACCATTATTTTCCAGCACTGCCTTAACCCTCTTGGACATGGAGTTCACCAGAGCTTCACAGGTTGCCACTGGAGTCCTCTTCCACTCCTCCATGACATCACGGAGCTGGTGGATGTTAGAGACCTTGCACTCCTCCACCTACCGTTTGAGGATGCCCCACAGATGCTCAATAGGGTTTAGGTCTGGAGAGATGCTTGGCCAGTCCAACACCTTTAGCCTCAGCTTCTTTAGAAAGGCAATGGTCATCTTGGAGGTGTGTTTTGGGTCGTTATGTTGGAATACTGCCCTGCAGCCCAGTCTCCGAAGGGAGGGGGATTATGCTCTGCTTCAGTATGGTCACAGTACATGTTGGCATCCATTGTTCCCTCAATGAACTGTAGTTCCCCAGTGCTGGTAGCACTCATGCAGCCCAGACCATGACACTCCCACCACCATGCCTGACTGTAGGCAAGACACACTTATCTTTGTACTCCTCACCTGGTTGCCGCCACACACGTTTGACACCAACTGAACCAAATACATTTATCTTGGTCTCATCAGAGCACAGGACATGGTTCAAGTAATCAATGTCCTTAGTCTACTTGTCTTCAGCAAACTGTTTGCAGGCTTTCTTGTGCATCATCTTTAGAAGAGGCTTCCTTCTGGGATGACAGCCACGCAGACCAATTTGATGTAGTGTGCTACATATGGTCTGAGCACTGACAGGCTGACCCCCCCCACCCAGTCAACCTCTGCAGCAATGCTGACAGCACTCATACGTCTATTTGCTAAAGACAACCTCTGGATAGGACGCTGAGCATGTGCACTCAACTTCTTTGGTCGACCATGGCGAGACCTGTCTGAGTCTGAGTGGAATCTGTCCAGTTAAACCGCTGTATGGTCTTGACCACTGTGAAGCAACTCAGTTTCAGGGTCTTTGCAATCTTCTTATAGCCTAGGTCATCTTTGTGTATAGCAACAATTCTTTTTTTCAGATCCTCAGAGAGTTCTTTGCCATGAGGTACCATGTTGAAGTTCCAGTGACCAGTATGAGAGTGAGAGCGATAACACCAGGTTTAACACACCTGCTCTCCATTCACACCTGAGACCTTGTAACACTAACGAGTCAGGATACCAGGGAGGGAAAATGGCTAATTGGACATTTTCACTTAGGGGTGTACTCACTTTTGTTGCCAGCGGTTTAGACATTAATGGCTGTGTGTTGAGTTATTTTGAGGGGACAGCAAATTTACAGTTATATTCCTTTTTTTTTTTATTGCAAAGTTTGCTGGAAAGGGTATATAGCAACGTGCAGAGGGTTCCTTCAGAATTTCCAGTATTAAAAAGCATTTCACCCCTTTAGAACTGATGGATAAACGCATGTACAAGCTATTGGGATTGCAGCACAGGTATGTATTATCAGTGGTGAGGGAAAGACACATGGATGGTCTGTTACTTTGAAAAGCTCAGCATTGCAAGCTGTGGCTGCAGTGTAGGGTAACAAAAAAAAAAAAAAAAAAAAAAGTCTTCACTACATAAAACATACCAACATTAATACAAAAAAGAAAATGTATCATCAGGCAGTATTATTCCGAGTCGTAAGGGATGAAGGAATATGTAAAACCAATGTTTAGATCTTTAACCTCCCATTAGGCAGATTAAGAGAAAAAAAAAAAGTGTTTTAGAAGTGTTTAACATCTACAGAAGCATGTTGTAGTTTTTCTGAAAAAGCATGTGTGTAATAGATGGGACAGATATCACTGTATGTCTGTCACAACTAATAGGTTGTTTAAACGCCAAAACATAATCCAAATACACTATATTGCCAAAAGTATTGGGACACCTGCCTTTATACACACATGAACTTTAATGGCATCCCAGTCTTAGTCCATAGGGTTCAATATTAAGTTGGTCCACCCTTTGCAGCCATAACAGTTTTAACTCTTCTGGGAAGGCTGCCCACAAGGTTTAGGAGTGTGTCTATGGGAATGTTTGACCATTCTTCCAGAAGCGCATTTATGAGGTCAGGCACTGTCAGACAAGAAGGCCTGAATCACAGTCACTGCTCTAATTCATCCCAAAGGTGTTCTATCAGGTTTGAGGTCAGAACTCTGAGCAGGCCATTCGAGTTCCTCCACCCCAAACTCACTCATCCATGTCTTTATGGACCTTGCTTTGTGCACTAGTGCGCAGTCATGTTGAACAGGAAGGGGCTATCCCCAAAACAGTTCCCACAAAGTTGGGAGCATGAAATTGTCCAAAATGTTGGATGGACTTATTGCACAGGTGCAACCTATCATGGTACCATGCTTGAATTCACTGAGCTCCTGAGAATGACCCATTCTTTCACAAATGTTTGTAGAAGCAGTCTGCACATAACTAGATGCTTGATTTTATACACCTGTGGCCATGGAGGTGATTGAAACACCCAAATCCAATGATTTGGAGGGGTGTCTCAATACTTTTGGCAATATAGTGTACTTTTACAGTGTTACTAAACCCAGCATTCTGCATTCACTATTTCTGGTCTCCCAAGGTACACATGTACAGTAGCTGTATAATTATGCATAGCAAGTAATGTGCAATAATATTAAAAAGGGTCAGTCACTGGCTGCCCAGAAAACAAATGAGGTAGGTGGTGCAAACTTAATGACAAAAAGGGAAAAACAAAAAAAAGACTTATGTTGCAACCCAGCAATTTTATTGTCAGACAGGAACTGCTATAGGTGTCAAGAGTTCTGGTTATAACAACACAATAAAAAAAAAAAAAAAAAAAAAAAGTGTTTTTAATGCGATATGAACTATTAACCTTAATTATGCTACAGTGTTGTACGCAGGTATTCCAAGTGGTCTGGGATGCCTTATGTATAACACTGCAGCACAATTAGCACGTGCTGAGAAGATAATCCAGTTTTCTTCTGGGATCAATATGGTTACTAGAAATGAATATCACAAAACAAATACTGAACACTTGTCTCATGTTTAAAATAACATGAAGGATGATTGACATACAAGCTGCATTGCATCTTGGTGCAAATGAATCCACCTGCACCCATCAAGTGATGACCATTAACATTAGCTCCCAGTTCCACAGCAATCAATTCCACAGCTATTCTTTAGGCAAGATGGGTTAGGTAATGCACAGAGTTCTTGGAGATTCAACAGTACTACAAAGGAAGGTTCTTGGCCTTGTGTTGTATTTGAACTTTCAAATAAGAAATACCTTCTGTATAAGCTCAATTTTCTGATATGGTGGAAAGCCAACTATTGCCTTACTGGATTCATTAGCGCTCCATCATGGATAGTACTTTGCTTCTAGAAATACATAGGTTATATCTTTACACAAAAGTATGGAAAACAGAATATTCAATGGATAAAGCTAGTCCAGCGCTTTAGGAAAAATGAAGACAGTGGCTAGTGCTGGGTTTTAACACTCCTATTTCTTGGTAGCCCCATGAAGCAACCAGGCTTCCATGCAAAAGGATGAGCTTGCTGCCAATAACCAGCTGCCAGTGGGGCGGAAATGCAGTGCACAGAAACAGATGCAAATCAAGACTTCAAAATCTGCTTAGAAACACAAAATTATGTTGCTATAATTGGGGTAAGTGCTTTTTTCCAAGCAATTCAGCCATTTGTAGAACTTGAATACTACTCAAGCTACAGACCTGGCTTAACTGCTGACAAAAGCCTACTAGTTAATTGTGCAAGTTACAGCCATTGCTAAAACTGCAACAATGAGGAATTGCTGCAAAGTAACAAAAATTTAAAAAAAAAAAAAAAGAAATGGACATCAAAACAATACATATGTCAAAGGGTGTAGAAAATGCAGGAAATACAGGGGCTGACTAAGAAACTACAAGTAATTTGCAGTCATAATTTTTCTCTGATCGGTGTTTTGAGCTGTATGAAGGTAACAACTTAAAGCTTTGTTATACTGTTTTATAATAGAAATAGATAATGGAATTTATTCAATGTCCATCTCAGGGAGTTTCTTTTCTGCTTCAGAGGCAGCTGAATCTGAACTCTGCTCTGTGGCCTGTGGCCCTTGGCCATTTGTGTTATTGTCTACTGGTCCATTCTGCTCGCCTGCTTGCTGCTCTTCTTTCGGGGGCTCCACCTTGGGTTTTGGTTTGGAGACTATGGGGTTACAAGTGTTCATCAATTCCTGGAAAACAACAATTGAAATAGTCAACTTTGTATATGAAATTCAGAACAGACACAAAAATGCATTTCCTTAATTGGGAATTAAAGTGGAAGTAACCCCACTTTAATATCTTTTACCTACATGTAAGCTTATAATAAAGCTTACCTGTAGGTAAAATTAATATCTCCTAAATGTGCACCGTTTAGGAGATATTTGCTCCATTTGACAGGCGGCGCATACGCTCTGAAGGAGCCATTCCTTCAGAGCACTGTGCCGTGGCCCAAGGCTCGGCTAGTCAGACAGCCGGAGATCGCATACCCAGAAGGAAGTTTAAAGCCTCTGCAGTGGTGACAGCACGCCACTGGAGGGCTTCATTTTAAGGTACGTCCTTTAAAATGTGCAAGTATGCGATGCATTACATTACCTTGCAAGGGATCTCTCCTCCCTCCCCCAAGTTGCAGTTTACTACCACTTTAAGAAGGAAAGGGGGGGGTTGGTGGGTTGTCCTTTTCTAAAGAGGACAATGCAATAAATAAACATGCACCTTTGACTGGGCTATGACCTGTGCCAAGTGCCCTGCAAATGACAAAATGTCATCAAATGACAAGAATACACAGCTACAGTTTAAATCCTGCAGTCCTATCTAAAAGGATAGTACAGTAGGATAAAAGGGGCATGCACACTGCATAACCTAGTATATATGTGCGTGTACTAGAACAGAACAACAAATGACAACAAAAGACATCCTAGGTTTTTCATGGCATGGATCTATTTTTCAAGCATGTTTTGGGTGTAAAGATATGCTCTTACAGCTTTTACATGACAGATGAGCAGGATGTATAATTAACAAACACCATATATCAAAGTGTCAAAAGTGTGAACTGCACATGTTCCTAGCAACCACACCCCTAAGGAAAAAAAAAAAAATACTCACCTTTGTTTTAGCTTGAATATCCTTTGTTTTAACTACTGGATCTGCAGTAAGATTCTGCTTCATCTGTAGATTCATTTTGTTGTTCATCCACTCCATGGCTTCATTTATACTCTTTTCAACTTTGTCCATATCAGCGGGGTCCAGGTGGTCGTATGCCTCTTCCTATATGGAAAAGTCAGATTAGTCCAATTCAAAAAACAAATTTAGGCTGCTATGCATTCACCGGAGCCAATATAAAGCAAAACTTCCCATAATACTCCATAAATACACTGGCACTACAAATCCCCAACTCAATGCACCACAAAAACAACTGTGCATACATATGTACAGGGAAATGGAGCAAATGGTATGTTCGACTGTCACAGAATTCCACTAGCTGTCTACTGGGAAGGTACAGGTTGACACAATTGTAGTGTTGCTTTATTACAGGCAAGACTGCATAAGAAGACAGACTCTGAAGACAAGATTTTGCTTATTAAGTTGTATATACTTGCCAAAGTATGAAGCACAGAAACAAACAATCACGCATACTACACATGGTTTAAAAAAAAAAAAAAAAAAAAACTAGTGACGTTTTTCCTTTAGGAGAAAGCTGGAGAGGCATGGAAACTGACATCAGTTAATTCATATCCAGACATGCCTGCGAAGGTGTGTATTCTCCCAAAAGGCAAAATCCTATTGTAGCAGCACACTTTCAGGCTGCCTCCAAATACAAAAATAAAATCTCAAGGAAGAAAAAAAAAAAAAAAAAAAAAAAAAAAGCAATACCTTGCTTTTGAAGGCATGAATAACTTTCATATAAAGCTGAATTTGTTTCCCAAGCTCATCAAAGGCCTTTGGTCTCTCTTCAAACTCTAGGTAACGTGCTTGTATAGGATGGCCTAAATTCTGGAAAAAAAAAAAGTGGAAAGTGAAATAAAAGCAAACATTCTAATCTTGATTTAACTATTTAAATTGAACTGTAATGGAAAACTTTAAAAGTGTCTGTAAACTTTTTTTTTTTAAATAAAAAAAAAAAAGTTATACTTACCTGCTCTGTACAATGCCCAGAGTGGTCCCTTTTCTTTTTTTCTGGAGCTTCCCGCCGATGCGGTCCACTCCTCCTCGTGTGCGCCTCCACGCTATGGGCACATAAGTGCAGGCGTGTCCCAGGCTGTATGCATCCATAGATACACACCGTGCCCCACTTCCGCCTCACAGGATTTAACTGACATCAGCAAGAGCCAATGGCTCCCACTGCTATCAGTGCAGCCTGTGACAGCAGGGAGAGGACAGAAGAACTGCAGTTGGGCACATCGCTGGATTAACAGAGGACTCAGGTAAAAGTTTAGAAAAGGGGATGGGGGGAGACAGGCATTGGAAGGTTTATTACCTTAATGCAGGGAATACATGAAGGTAAAAAACAAAAAAAAAAAAAAAAAAAACAGAACTTTTGTTTATGTGATAACACAATCAATATCAGTTAAATGCCAAGTGTAAATAAAAATCAAATCCAAAGTGATCTATATATACCTTGTACACCACCAATAAAGGTTAATTCATGCTGAATACAAATAATATTGTGTAAATAAAACATCAAAACTAAAAAAGTATTATGTGCAAATTAACACCACGTGTGAAGACTGAAAAAGTCCATCCAAAAACTGTGTTCACCCATGGATCCCTTGACCCTGTCACACACAGCTTCTTACCGACGGTGAAGACCCCAAATCATAGATGTCTAGGCAAAGCTTAGAAGTGTGCCTTGCTGTGTCAAATTTTCCAATCTTGTATCATAGATCATACTAGCAAAGGACTGCACAGTGAGCTTCCTCTCTGCAGATGTTACCCAGCAAAGGAAAACACATAAATCTTCCATAGCATAAATCCGTCAGATATCTCAATTTAAAGAGCTGCATATCTACTTAAATAAGCAATAAGAAATCTCATGTAAACTCCACAAACCACACCGTTCGTACTGGATCCAGCAGACTCATGTGACATCAGCACAAGTTCTAGGGAGGAGCTTGTGCTGATGTCACCCACATCTGCTGGAGCCAGTACTAGTAGCGTGGTTTGTGGAGTTTACATGCAACTTGGATTTGATGTTTTACTAATACTTGCCCTTTATTAACAGACATTGATGGGATCATTTTTAAAATCTGTATTGGGCGTCTGATTTGTATTTTCAGTACAACAGTTTGGGAACATAATATTTGTGACATTTGAATTTTTTGGTTGAGAGCAGCTGTAATTTTTTTTTTTTTCGTTAGCACTTAGCGTAGTTTTTTTTCTTATTAGAGTAAGATAAACTTGTAAGCAATAACATTCTGACAAGTGTTGACACATGGAGATTTACAAAAGAAATACGGAGAATGAATCCACCATATTCCATGCTAACCTACCTTTAAGTCTGTTAACTTGTCTATATAAACTTGTTTTGATTGATCCTCTCCATCCTCATACAACCAGTTCTCTGTATCTTCAAGCTTCAGGATGAAACGGTTTCTGTCCTAAAACATTAATTTCACAGCAGTCAAAAAAAAAAAAAAAAAAGTATAATATAATATAAATGTATGTATGTTTGTTTATTAGATACACGGGGAGATGGGAGACACGGAGTTGCTAAAATATATAGAATTTTAACGGCACTAGACACGGACACAAAATTAACTTATGTAGAGAAATGGGGAAAAGATATGGGTAGGGAGATAGATGATGAACAGCAGAGGAAAATGTTTAGATTAACTCACGAAAATATTAGTATGAGAGAAGTAGAATTAAATTATAAGTGTTTAGTTAGATGGCACATTGCACCGACTGTGGAGCACAAGATGAACGGGGGAGAACTCTCCACTGTGTTGGAGAGGTTGTGGAGAAGTGGGTACACTATATCACATATGGTGGGAATGCTCAAAGATACAGGTGTTCTGGGGGAAAATCGTACATTTAATAAGGAAAATTACTAAGATCGATATTAGATTGGATCCAGAGTTATGTCTTCTTCATATCTCTGAACTTACAGTGAGATCATATAAGGATTCAGGGATTTGGTACTTTTTGAGTGCAGCTAAAAGCTTGATCCCTAGGTTTTGGAAAAAAAAGGGAGGCGCCGACGGAAGAAGATTGGTTTATCAGAATGAATCAGTTATGTGAGATGGAAAGACTTTATTATACACCTATAGATGGCATGGAGAAGTACTATAAAAAAATGGGGAAAATGGGAAGAATTTAGACAGAAAGTGAAATATACTTGATTTATACTTCTTGAAACGAATAAGGTATTTTAGAAATGAGTTTTAGAAAGAAAAAGCTCTCTCGGATTAGACAAGAAAAAGCAGAGTGGGCGGGAGGGGGGTTACGAGGATGGGTGTGGGTGGGGGAGGGATTTAGGGTTGTGGGAATTAAATAAATTACGAGGAATATAATGATCTTTTAATGAAGAAAAGGTTTGTTAATTATTTTTGATTGAAAACTAATATTTATAAAAAAAAAAAAAATATTATAAATGTATGTCTTTATCAAATCAAATTATTCCACAAGTGTCAAAGACTCTAGTCTTTGTAAAAACTAGCCTACATTATGAACCTCTGCCATTTTGCTCTTCCAAACACAATCAAATAAAAAATTCGCAAGAACCACTATCTCATGGGGCAGTGGATTACTAAGCAACAATTAAGCGCTTTGTGTGCAGCGGATTTCCATTCATGTATACAAATGCCACTGAGCACCATGCTAACCATCCGTGGCAAAAGCTGGCAGCATTTGTGCGCAAGTGCGGAAATCCACTGCATGTGCGCATGTGTGCTGCTGGTTTCTTCCAGCTCCCAAATGCCTAGATGAAACCATGCATAAGCACAAGCAGTAAAAATGGCAGGAGCAGTGGGGGAGGTATTAAAAAGTAGTTTAGTTCCACTTTAATAAGACCACCCATCACAATAGATATCCAACAGTGAGGGGCAGGGCTAAGGTAGACCAACAGGAAAAGTCAAGTCATACCATTAGCAGCAAAATATCTTCCCATCTACTGAATGCTTTGACATGTAGTTTTTAACCAAGGTAAGCAACAAACACCCTCTTCTATAGGTATACCCATAGCCAAGACCTAACTGGGTTTTGGTTTTGTAAAAGGCTTTCCATGTAAAATAGATCCCAAAAGATTCAAAGATTTCTGCACCAGCACCAGATGGTATCTATAACACGCCCATATGCTGGTGCCACCAATTACCAGCATCGCATATAAACAGACATACAGCATGCTGATAGATGGAGGGCCCCCTTTAAAGTATTACTAAACCCCGGACCCTACATTCACAATATCTGATCTCCCACAGTACACACAACATAAGAAGTGCAATTATTTTAGTAAATATAAACTGCTAAATACCTTTTCTCATCAGCAATTGGAGCAGTCCTGTGACTTCAGAAGAGCACTGATTAAAGCTTGTAAGAGGAGTTTTCTTTCTGCTCTAGGAGGATGTGAAACCTCTGACCCTCTGTCAGGTCAGTGCTGATCATATGCACCCTCTCAAGAAAAAAAAACCTCTCTTAAAATACACACCAAACTGAGCATGGGCATGTGACCACAGGTTCAGTGTGTATCAGGTGTCATTTCAACAAGAGGAGAGGCAGGATCAAAAAGGATCAAACAGCCTTTTTACACAATGCAGAGGATTAACCCCTTAGGTTCCACAGTGAGTATAACAAGCATGCTTTACTGCATATACAGACTGATTTTACTGTTGTGGGTTTAGGAACACTTTAATTGCATACACATTATAGCTTAAAATTTAATCTCCTATATTTTGACTTTCAATTTTAAATTAAACCAGTTTATTACTTACCTTATTTTAGACCTAGCAACTCATGTCTGTTGGGAGGAGCCTGCAGGATGCTGCACATACCTTCCTAAAAACACCACAGCCCTACCCAAGTACGCTTCTCAAAAGCCATCAACCTGATGCAAACAGTGGACTGGCTCCTGGGGATAATAATGCAAATATCAAAAACACCTTCATGGGCAGGGTGTCAGTACTGAGGAGTGGACTTTCCTAGGCAGTCTGCATTTGTATGCAGACCGCCCTTGGCAACAGATCACAGGTGATACGGAGCCTACCAGAATGGAAAAAAACTGAAATCTACTGTATTTCAATGGAAAGGGAGCAGCCAAGGGATAATATAGCTTGGGTGAAAATAGCAAGATTATATGCTGGACATCCTCCAGCCAAAAAATGGGGAGAGCTCTAATCTATCTGCAGCTTCTAACGCACACTGTGAAAAGCTCAGAGCGTGCAGTGAAATCAGACTAAGCAGATTCCTTACAGGAGAGGAGCCTATGCAACTGCAAGACTGAAGGTAAGGCAGGAGGTCAGCTTTTAACCAGTCCTTACATGGGACTGTGAAAAATGTGTCCCTCCCTACCTCACAGGTGTATACAAACCATCTGTTTAACAACAGAGATCCCTGCCTGCAGCAAATTTGTACAGTTGCACTCCTATTCCTACAGGTTTCACAGGTCTGCTGTAACTAAAGCCCTAAAAAGAAATGATATTCCATGGATTAGCCACAATTTGAGGTACTTCTCCATGAGAAACACTATAAAAACCCACAAACAAAACGTGAATTGTAGGCATCCCTCCTTATTTATTATATAGCCCTAGTGGTCCTTATCACCAAAATGGTAAATTCATATTTTACATTTGATTTACACTAGTATCTTTCCTCATGTGTACCAGTGTACAAGCATTTGCATTTTCCATCAGTTATTCAGATCCAGAGCAGATGTCGCAATATTTGACCACGATGTAACTAAATGGAAAAATCAAATATAAAGCAAAGTGCTTTGCATGCAGAGTAGATAATGTTTTGGTTCAAACAATGCACTGAAGGGACAAAAACCTGACTTCTCTCATCAAGCATCTCGTGTTTTCTGCCTCTATATTAGTCTATGTGTCCATGCACACATTTAAAAAAGGAGCTTAGCGCCATTTAAAAGGCAAAAAAACCCCACTGCCACGTGTAAACACGTCCATACGTGCATTAATGCTAGGAGAGTCAAGTACTTGAGTGTTATTTCATTTCAATGACCAGAATTCTGGTCAATGAAATGAACACTGAAGCACTTGAAGTGCCAGTACATGTTTACATGCATCAAGTATTTCTTTCGGCAAAAAAGTGGCTGACAAGAGAAAAGGCATTTAGGAGAAGTAAGGTAAAGCCCTATGTGCATGGGGCCTAACTCGTCACACTCACAACATGTACAACTTTTCAGGCATCCTTGTTGACAGTTTAAACAAAGCTGATGGCGTTTCTCTACCGAATGGCGGCTATAGAGCGGTTGTCCAGTTCTGGGAGGGCGTCATGACATCCTCCCAGAACGAGCCCCCAGCGGCACACACCCGACACTGTCAGTGATTGCTTGTCCCATGGACACAGCTGATCACATGACTAGGTAAAAGGCCAATCACAGTGGCCTTTTACCATGTGATCAGCTGTGTCCAATTTTTAGTGCAAAAAATAAAAACCCCAGTGGCAATTAAATACCACCAAAAGAAAGCTCTATTTGTGTGAAAGAGATTATAAAAATGTCATATGGGTACAAGGTTGCATGACTGCAAAGTTTTCAAAGTGGAAGAGCATTGAAAGCTGGCTTGGGCGCGAAGGGGGTAAAAATGCTTGGTAGGCAAGTGGTAAACAAAAAAAAAAAAAAAACACTAAAAAAATGACTATTTTAAATTTACTTGAATCTTTTTTCGCTCTTTCTATAAATGACTTATTCCTTGCAATGTGCCTTTACAATTGCAAGAAAATTGGACTACTCCATTTTAGTCAATGTGATAGCACAGCCTCCTCCCTTCTTGCAAGTCCTAGCCCTCTACTTCTGGGAGTGTCAAATTACTCAGTGTTGTCCCAGCATCTCTACCCCTTCCAACAATCTTATGTAGCCACCAGGGAGAAGAATAATAGAACACTATAGGGTGTCTTGAGTGGGAAACATCACTCAATCTGATGACATCATGTCCAAGATGGCAGCACTCAGGAGCAGTCTCATGGCTTCTGGAGGCCGACAAAAGGGAAGGTTATTACATGCATAAAAAGGCCAGGAAGTACTGGAGGCTGAGAAAAAGGAAGAACAAAAGAGTTCCTGTGGTTCCAAGAGTGCAGTTCTCTGCAGGGGCTTGCTGGGACTGGAGTCTCACAGGAACATAGTCAGTGGGATGTGCAGTTCAAGCTGCAGGCAGAGACATGATCAGCAAACAAGGCAAAATTATCTGTTCAGACAGCAGGCAAAAATGTGATCAATAAACAGGCCAGGGGTTAGTAGAGCTGGCAGGAAGAGGCAACACTGCACTGGTATGTGGTGGTGGACAGGAACACTATTCCTTACTTACACTGGGGACTACTGTGGCAGTAATCGGTAACACTGCTGCTGACTTAAACTGGTCTGGTGACACTGGGACTGGTGTGTAGACAATCAGGGACTGGTATACACTGGTGTGGTAACACTGCGACTGGTGTTAAGGTGATGAGGAACACTGTTGCTGGCATACACTGGTCTAATAACACTGGGACTGGTGTGACGGTGATCAGGGACAATATGACTGGTGCAGCAATGATCTAGAACACTGGAAGTGGTGCAGTGGTAATCAGGGACAGTGACTGGTATCACTGACATTGTTCTGTTGTGGTGGTGATCAGAGATAATATTTGGAGTCACTGACATACAGCAATATCAGAAGCAGCCAGCCATTGTACATAACTGTTCTGGTGACAGTATGCAAAAAACAAATGTCACCAGAGCAATGCAGTGTTACCATACCAACACTCTACAACCCTGGGGAGGCAATTTGGATTTTTTTTTTTTTTTTACAATGATGATCACTGTATAACCATCATTTACACTCTGTGGCATCCATTCCTAATGTCATTGTTTACTACTGTGATAGCTGTGATTGGCCAAAGGTATCACAGGGTAAAGAGACACTGATTGGCCCTAGACCATGTGATCCCTGTGACCCATCAAAGAGATCACAGTAGTAAGCAATGGTGTCATGAATGACAACCATTGTTTGCTACTGGACATGTGACAGCGATCACATGGTACCAGGGCGAAGCACAGCGGTCTGGTACATCAATTGGTGATCTGCTGTGTCCAGTGGACACCTAATGTGTTGCTGTGTCTTCATGACGAGGTTTGACCACCCAGAATATCATTTGGTGGTTAAAAAAATTATTACTAAAAAAGAAATTTAACAATTTAAGAGAAGTGAAAATCCCAGAAACAAATACGGTGAAGTGAAGTACCACTTACATCTTCATTGACAAATTTCTCATAAATGCCACCACACAGCTTGTCCCTCATCTCATATACATATTCTTCAACAGCATTCTTGGCATCATTTCGCTCCTTTTCAAGCTTATCCTGCATGATCATCTTTCCCTGGAGAACAGAGGTAAATAATTAACATATTAAACTACTTATTTCAGTGCCCAGCATTACATGTAACTGTTAATATTTCATCCGAAGACAGGCAAACATCTAATAGCAGAAGACCCAGGTCTATGTGTCATAGATCGATTAGATGACAATCAATATGTTTTAACTGTTCATATGAGGTGCGTTTTGACAGCCCATTAATTTCAATGACCTGCTAAACATGCAGGAACTCACAAACATTACAGTAGGTTTCATCATTAAAATATGGAGGCACTATTTATTTTGATGGCAGCAAACGCCGTGCAAATAAATGGCACCCACACGACTGCAGCTGGCAGCATATTCCAGTGCAGGAAAACACATACTTCTGCACGTGTTCCTACACCACAATTGGTGTGAACAGACCCTTAGGCAGTTACAGATAAACAGTAAGTATGCACAATCCTTCCTTCTTGTCACTTGTATCACATAAATATGAATACGTGCAGCAGACAATTCAACAAAAGGCATTACATTAGAGGACTAAGGTTATTGGCCATAAAAAAACCCAAAAAACTCAACAGCATATCTGCCTTTCTGCAATCCCTTCAACATCTGCCAGCCTGAAATGTCAGTCTCTTTGCAGGCACCATTACCCAGCCACCCCTACCAATTCCCAACATCTGCCAGCCAATATTGTAATACACAGTCTACAAACCTCATTTTCCAGAAACAGGTTCAACATATCCCGCCCTATCTGCCATGGAGGATAGTGATCAATAGGCAATTCAATTGTACTAGTCTTCACTTTAGCTTTTTTGGCTTGTGGAGGTTGATCCGTCTTCTTGTCTTTAGGTGTTGCTTGTGAAGTCTAAAAGTATGAATTAAACAAAACAATTTCACAGACATACCAGAGATGTGGAATATTCATTAAATTAGTAGCACTTTGATGCCATATCTAATAGCGATGTGACTTTGCACTATTATATACGTAATATTGGTCCAACTGTTGCAATCTAGCACCTGGCTTCTTTGTTAGTTCACGATCTTTGATTTTTTGGGACTTCAGCTGTGGCTGTGTGATTAATTTACACATATTGGAACAGTAGTTGTGGACTGTGACTCAGACTGTGGACTTAATATGTTTTATCCAGAGAGTTGATACCTTGTGTGAATGACAAACACACCCTAACCATCCTCACACATGGACTATTCAGAGCCCATTACTTATTGTTGTTAATTTGAGCACTTTACTTGTGTTTAATGACTGCTACTAGTAATCTGTCTGCTTTGCAAAAACTGAATGTGAAGAGCATATCTATGATCCTATAATATTTTCCACATTAAGTTTAAAATGTTTCTAGCCTACTCCTATTAATCTGAACAATCTTTCAAAGATCCCCACACATTTACATCCTACAATTTCATGACACATTCACTAGACTCTGTGGGTAGGAACTGCTGTGTCAAAGAACTCACAGAGTCTATCTTCTGAACAACAGACATGCCAAGAGGCTGAGTATCAAGTGGTACAATCTGTACAGGAACCACTGCTTACAGGCAGCAAGGTATCATGTAATATGTAGTCCTTAGAGACTGAAAGTAAAAAGCAGGGGAGATACTGCAAATCATGCTGCGAATCCAGGACATTGTGGAACGATGGCCAGCAGTCAGGCAGATCTCACAACATGAAAGGAGATTTTTCAAGCAAATTTATATTGGGTTGACAAGAACAGGTTTGTATCGTTTTCCCACAATGCTATTGTTATAAAATAGAAATGAAGGCTATGACCATAGATCTTCTTTAAGCCACTTTGTTTACTGTTGTTCATAGTATCATCCCTGCAATGTTATAATGCTAATAATGGTGCGCAATGTCCCCAACTTGCAGATAAATTATATCACTTCAATAACATTTTCAACAATCATTTCATGAGGACAGAAGTAAAAGCCTCAAAAGCATTGCTTCTAAACATGGAGCGTCTGTACATTGTCGCTGTGCTTCTGCTGGTGGAGTCAAACCATACTAGATTTACTTGCAAGTAGTATGCACTGATGCATCCACCTACCTAGCCTCAGGCCTGTATGTATTTCTAGTGACACCTATAATACTGTTACCATGGACTGCTCAATTATGTACCTTTAACCAATTTCCTTGCAACGTGTCCGAGATCTACAAAACACCAAACATGTGGAGCAGAAACACTTGAAAGCAATCTTCCCATAGGTCCAGCGGATATATAATTTTGGTGCAGTCTAGTTTGGTAGAACCTGTATGACATATTGCTTAGTGTGCAGCACATGGCATGCGAAAGTGATATTCTCAGCAAATCATCCAGAACAAGTTTTAGGGCTAGCAGACCCACAGCTGTTCCAAAAAAGTGTTTCTGCAACTGGACAGGTTGTGGGTATGGTAGCAGATTAAACGCAGCAGAAATCAGGTGCAAGTTACAGAAAAAAATAAATACTACCATAGGTCTCTACCTTTACCCAAACTGATCCACTCAGTAATGTAAAAAAAAAAAAAAACAAACAAACCCCACACACAACACCTAAAAAGGATCACTGATCCATTGCATGTACTCATAAGTACTGCAATCATGATAAACGCAACCAGAGCTCTATTCTGGCTGATCTGCAGAGCATCTACAACCAAACAACTGAATTTTTGGCACCTCCATTTCTTCAGGATTAGACTTAGTTTCTGCCTGTGTGGACTGAGCTTCTTCTTGTTTAGCCTCCTCTTGATCAACTTGCATTTTCTGGAAAAGAACATGTGAAGTCAGATAACAAGTATGCATGACTTGCTTCTGATCAACAGTACTCTAGTACAAGAAAAAGGAACAGAACACAGCAATACCTCCTCATCTTTTGTAGTCTGGTCAGTTTCCATAGGTTCCTCAGAATCATCTGTTTTTTGGACTTCAACAAGAGATGCACTAGATACACTAAATATACCATGGACATTTACACGGACTTTCACTTTCACTTTGGAACTGGATCCATCAGCTTGAGGGGCAACCTTCTGTACATGGAACTGACCTGCCAAGAAAAATGAATATGGAAAAGACTGCAATACAGAAAACAAAATGTGTCTATTCCCATCAAACACCTGCTTTAGAAAACATGCACAGAAAGATAACAGACCTTTTATAGTCTTGAAATTGTATCATCTGAACCCAACAAGTATTTAACTTTAAATTTTTACCTAATGAAGGGTCTGGATAGGGCAATTCTTTGGGTGCACTATAGTAAGCATCCAAAGTGAAAGGTTCTTTTCTGTAAAAGGTCAACACTTTGGAGAAAGGAGCTGCGTGGTTCTTAGGAAATACCTCACAATCACTGCAAAAAAAAAAAAAAAAAAAAAAACACACAGATAAAAACATGAACAGAGCCACATCAATTTTTATACATTAGTGGACTAAAAGTGTAAAGAACCACTCACCTAAGACCTTCCTCTGCTGGAGAATTCCATTTCAGTGATATTGGGTACGGTACAAGATCAGTAATGGAAAACTCACGAACTTTAAAGGCTGGGGATAGAATGGCACACTACAACCAGAGAAGGCAAAAAAAAGTCAGACATTAAAAGCGAACAGGCAGCAAATCAGTTCCTTCCTACAGAACATTCATGTAAATAGAATAACTACATAAATTGAACGAGAGCCAATCAAGCACAAACTTTTCTACATCAGCTGTATATGGCCATGCATGCTTACACTATATAGAGTGGTTACATGGATTACTTACAAGCAAATAGAGAATTAGGTGTTACTTTTAAAACACTTGAGTTATGTTTTTAGGACATTTTAGTTCTAGTTCTAAGAAATTACAGTCTTTTTATACACCAAAACAGGTTCAGACATGTCGGAGAAAAATTAAAAAAACCAACAACATTGCCTGAATCTACAATACACATTGCAGTGACTCTTACCTGTAATGCACAGCCCCTGGTTACAGCTTCATCAGCATTCAACGTCGTGCTGACTTCTTTACCAAAGAATCGTATTATTCGTTCTTTAACAGCTGGGATACGTGTAGCACCCCCAACTATCTCTACTGCATAAACATCTTCTTTCTTGAGCTCTGTGAAGACATAAAAAAAGAGTGAAACAAAAAGGACTAAAAACATGAGGCTCATCACCCCAAAGGACAGCATAAATATCTAGCACCTGGTTATGCTGGTTTTCATTACCTTGTTCTAAGTAAACAAGAGCTCAAAAAAAAGCTGTATGTTTTTTTCACCCCTCTCTCCAATGGTAGGTAAAAGAACGAATAAAACACACCTTGTCTGATTTAAAGCTGAAGAGTAGATATGGAGTATTTTGTAAAGTTGGATTGGTCCAGCTTGCAGAAATTTAAGTATGCATGTACCATACCTGGCTGATCCCCACAGAATATGGAAATCACTGCATTCACCGAGAAAATTCAAAGTGTTCTCTAAATGGCACCCATGCTGAGTGAGAGCCCAACCTCCTGTGTTCACTAAGCAGGACACTCACTTGGAACCAGGAAGCTAGTAGTGCTGCCTATCACAGCGATTTAAAACTTCCATGAAGGATCAGCTAGGTATGACATATGTAGAATTACAATTTGTCCAAGTTGCTATGCCTGCCTTTTTGTAAAGGCTCTTCTGTATGTTCCTTAACTCACTTTAAGAAGCAATAAACACATTTGTGGAATTAAAAGAAGGAATTAAAAGAGAAGGGTACAATAAATGGGCATCATTTCCATGAACTTTTTCTCCTATATTACCTAAACTTGTTCACAGAATAGTTTAAGCATTTTTCTTTTACTTACTAGCTTGCTCTAAGACGCTGCGTAGAGGCCCTTCAATTCGCGACAACAGGCTGTCACACATTTCTTCAAAGTGACCCCTTTGAAAATGGAGGAAAAAAAAATACTGTTCGAACAAAAGAAAAAAAAAACTGTTTCCAATACAATAACTGATTTGGTCTGCAGACTTGCCCCACAGTGAGGTGAATGGTAGTACTTGGGTCAGAAAGCTGCATAGAGCAGCAATTCTACCATTATGCAATTTAGCAACTTCAGTTTGCTTTTCAGCTAAACAGTATGACATGGATTTGTTTAGTTTATTTGTTTTATTATTTTTCTCTGCACCCCCACCCCACACAAACTGCTAGAAGCAGATCATGTGACCGAACCAGAGTGCTCTTCAGCATAGGCAAGTATAGACATCTTTCCTTTACAGGCAGTTAGAACACGCTTTGGATGGGGGGAGGGAGCAGGCTTAACCCCTTCAAGCCGGCACTTCCCGACCCTTTAAAAGTTTCAGAAGCAGGGAGGCGGGGTTTAGGGTCATGTGACTGCCATGACACGCTGTCACATGATCGGGAAAGATCCAGATCGAAAGAGGAGATCGTGACCTTTCCGTGAGTACCGGACATGTGTGCAGGGCACGCGCTGTCGGCACATATGTCCTTTTTTTAATAGAACGCAAATGTGCGGCCTCCCGGCGTCTAGGTTGGATGGCGTGAAGTGGTTAAGTATAGTTAGGATTTGACTGGACATGCACTTTAACTGATACAATACTAGAGAAAGTTATTGTTTATTATATTTTGGGAGTGCAGAAAGGACACTTTAAAAAGTATGGTTATGCATAGTTTCCAGTCAACTTGACTGAAAGGTAGTTTTAGGGGTGGATACTATTTCAAAATTATATCCATCAATGTACTCACAAAAAAAGATCTTTGATTTTAAAGCTAATGCCAAAAAAAGGGCTAAGCTTCAGAAATATGCACATTGATAAATACCTGTTCATTGTTCCAGAGACATCAATATCATTCATAAAACATTCAATATTTAGAGGCAGATCTGAAGCATTTGCACTCATCAACTTCTTCAGCTTTTCGCACTCTTGAGCAAGTCGCAGTAAAGGCCTAATCTTAGACTTGATGTCCAGTTTATATTTCTTTCCAAACTCTTCGCAAAAATAGGCAACCAGAACATCATCAAACTTCCTTCCACCAACATACGAGTCAAAGGCAGTAGCTAATACCTGATAGATATTAAAAAAAAAAAAAAAAAAAAAAAAAAATTTAAATAAATAAAAAATGGATTAGGTTATGCAGCATCTTCTGATGTGTGACACTGTAGGCAATATATGAACTCTTGCAACCAGCATTAAAGGTGAAGGAGCAACAAAAAGAAATAATTGATTCGGCAACTACTCATGTCACCTGTCTGGTTGTGCATTGTGAAATACAAGCACAGAATTACATGTTTTTGACAGATAAAATTAAACATGTAATTAAAATGGTCATTAACAGTTTGTCTGGAGTTTTGCTTTAAAAACAGGATTTCTGAAACATGATAGATCGATATTTCCCTCAATGCATCTGGCCACTGTGATTTAGAAGCTTGTAACCACTTTTAGGCTCTATACGCACTAGAGACTGAAGGACCATAATAAATCCTCTTCATTGCAACCCCCTGTACAGGAAAGAATCTGAGGTGATTTGGGGATTTGGACTGCTGTGTAGATGGCCTGTAATAAATCTTTAATAAAAGACAAATACAGTAATTATCTGGGAGACTTCACCTCTTCTGCATCAGTGTATAGAGCCTTCCCTTACTGCACTGTACCCTCAGAGGAGTAATTCTTGTCTACTTCCCCTTTCCAAGTACCTGTATCCATGTTTGCGGGTGCAGGTACTGCAGGGCAAATTGCAGGGTCAAAAGTGATTTCCCTGCGGCTGCATTTTAAAATAGGTACATTTTCTGTGGGAAATTCAGACACAGCAACCCATTCAAATGAATGGGCTGCCGTGCCTGCACAAACGCAGGCTGCACATGTGTGAACCTAGGCTTATAAACTGTGTTACTCTGGCACCTCATAATTTCTTTCAGATTGTATATATGAAAAAAAAAAATCTCGTTAACATTATGTGCTTAGCATTGATCCTCTAGAAAACATGAAAATTCAAGCTTACTTTAAGTTTTCCTTTGTTAAAAGCACACACAGAGACTTGATACGCAGAATGTCCCATATCCACAAAAACCACAATCCTTGGCTTTTCTTCTGGTGCAGGTAAATCTTGTTTATAGATTCCATATGCAAGTGCCACTGTATTGGTAAATAGGGAAAGAACAGGGACAACAAAACTGTTTAACAGCATTTTAGATTTTTTGTTTCATTTGCAGAGGCACATGTTCATATAACTATTCCAAGACCATATTACTGTTTTATAAACAGGCCCCTAAAAGAAGACTTTTCAGAATGCAAGGGGATGTGTAAAGATTGTGAGAAAAAAAAAAAAAAGAAGTTTTACACTGGTCAGGGCTGCATTGTGGTTTTCAACGTTAGTGTTCCCAGGGTCCATCAAAATCCTGCACTTGTCACCCTCAATTCTCACCTGCTCAATTCCTACGGCACCATTCAGGCATTCCCAAAACTTTCATATTTCAAATCTTTGGCAATGCATATTATGAACGTGGCCAGAATGTGTGTTTCTGTACCCTGGCGGGTAACCCATCCATCCCGATTGCCAAGTGGTTCATTTGCATCAATAAAGTAGAGGAGATGGAGGAGATATTCACCACAGGAAATGACTGAATCCTCCATTTCACCAAGACCTGGGCTTGTTGGTTACATATATTATACTGTAAATCTACCAGCAAAAACACAGCAATTGTTAATGAATGCAGTTAGCAGCCCTATAGGCTCACCCAGTGGCATAGTTGAAAGTTGCAGCTTTAAAAAAAAAAAAAAAAAAAAAAAAAAAAAAAAAAAAAAGGGAGAGAGAAGGACATGCTCCACACTTGCGTGGACAATGTGACTCAACCCCCGCTTCAGTGGGTGTGTTTTCCCATTAACTGGCTTGCGGTTTTGAGGATCCCTTCCCCTCCTTTCTTTCACCTTGCCCCGTTTTTTTTTTTTTTTCCATGTCTCTCCCGCTTTATTTTTTTGTTTTTTTCCTTCGTCTTGACATGGAAGTGACAGCAGACAAAGTCTCTTTGGCTTAGAGGAACCTTTTGAGATGGGTTCCTTATGTGTCACAATTCAAGCTATTGTGCACTTCCAGAGTAACTTTGTAAGGTTTGGACTGCCCTTACCAGCATTTATCAGCTGCAATTTGCTTCCACCCCTCTCTTTGCTTAGTCTATAAGAGATCGCTATAAATTATGTACCAATGGCTATGTCATGATGTGTTCTGCTGTCCTTCCATTAGTGTTTTGAAAGCATAAAACTCCTCATAAACCTTTTACAGAATAGAAGAGAAAAAAATCCTGCACTTACACTTGGCCCAGAGAAGAACATATTTAGATCAGGGCATACACGGATTATCAATATAAACATATACAAGTGAACAAACACATATTGCAGACACTCTCATTGAAAACATGTCAAATGGCAATAACAGTCTTTCAGGTACAAAATCCAAACCAGATGTCAGACATCCCCCTTCCTCAGTTTTATGTGGCTGAAGGCATCTGGTGTAACCCACAAAATGTCAACTGAAACACAATCAATAAGGACTATTTGATGCCTATGTATGTGATGGCTGTACCATTTGACAATTTGAAATCCTTTGGATAAATTGACTGTTTGCACTTGAGAAGCTTTTGCCAAAATAAAAAAAAATAAAAAAATCAATAAGGACTGATAACCAACTAAGATATACAAGATCTGTATATAGTTATTGTAAAGCTGTAACTTCCAACACCAAAATAAGCAAAGTTTAATTTCATAGTTACATAGGCTGGATGCTGTCATATGCACATGCTGGACATTGGGAGCAGCAGGATAGCAAGGGGAATCGTAGAGCTACCCCAAAGGATGGAGCTGAGCGGGAACAGAGGAGAGCTTAATGACAGTAGAGTGAATCGGGGACCCCAGCGGTGAGCAGTGAGGTGTTTGGAAACGGAGCTACTAACACAGACTGCAGATAGGTGGACACAGGGGGCAATGTGATCAGTGCGCGAGATCAGAGGAGAGAACGCCGGGGGCTGTGCGCACTGAGGGGATGCGCACTGAGGCTGAGGGGGCCCCGTGCGCACTGAGGGATTGAGGCTGGGGCCCCGTGCGCACTGAGGGATTGAGGCTGGGGCCCCGTGCGCACACTGAGGGATTGAGGCTGGGGCCCCGTGCGCACTGAGGGATTGAGGCTGGGGCCCCGTGCGCACTGAGGGATTGAGGCTGGGGCCCCGTGCGCACTGAGGACACAGAGTGATGGGAGTGGAAAACGAAAACACCAGGGACGATGTGATCCGTGAGCAGGAGCATGCAGAGAGGATGTCGGGGGCAGTGTGGTCAGTGAACAGAAGATGCTGGGGGCCATATAACCAGAGAGCAGGAGGAGAGGATGCCAGGGGCTGTGATGAGTGAACAAAAGAAAAGAACGCCAGGGGCCTTTGATCAGTGAGCAGGAGATCCAACACTACTAGTGCTCAGAACGAGGTTAAGATAAACCATAAATATAAAACAAAATATTTCTATTGTATCAGAAGGACAGATAGGGCAACAAGTCACAAAGACCATGATAGCCAAACAGTATGCGGTTTACCGGATACTTGGGTTCTTTACATTGCAGATCAGATGAACACACTGTTAGGTGGGGCTGAGCAGGATCCAGGTGTCATGGAACATATTGGTACCAATGACAAAAACAGGAACATGAGTGTACTAAAAAATGATTTCAGGTTCTTGGTGCTCAGAAAAAGGGTGCTACTATGGGCAATGTTGGTAGTGTAACTAAAGCACCAATGCCTGTAAACTGGCAGAATCTTATTGCAGTCTCAGAACAAACAAGGAGGAAATATGCTTTTACCAGCGTCAAGTGTTTTTTTTTTCTTTTTTAAACATCCGACGTGCATGCACCCGAATAGAATAAATGCAAGGTCAGAGCATATTGGCCCCAAAAAGGATAATCAGGGGACGTTGGCTACAAGTGAGAAGGAGAAGGCAACTGTACTAAATATATTCTTTTCAGTTTTTTTGCATACGAAAAAGGAGGGGAATAAAAGACAAGAATGTATTTTTAGTAACACAGCACCAACAAGTACCCTTGTGGCTAACTGAAGCCAGTGTTCAAAAAAAAAAAAAAAAAAAAAAAAAAAAAAAAAAGGACTTGAAAGAAAACCTAATGTGAATAAATCAGCAGGACTAGATGGCTTACAACCAATAGTACTCAAAGAACGTCTTTATTCAATCTTACCAGCTATGTAACTACTCAATCAGATGATAGCAAAAATCCTTTTATAATTTTCCCTTGTACATTACTAGGATTTCAAAGCGAACACCGCTTCCCACTTATTTACATTAATATTGCCAAGTGAACAGCAATTACCCTCTCAGCATATAAACTCCAAAGTTTCCACATACATGCAAAAAAGCAAATTACTAATTTACTAGGCAAGCAGCAACAGAATGAAAGCATCAGACGATAATTTCCTCCATGGAGGGTTTGTCAGTAGCATCTGCCTCAAAAGACCTCAAAGAGCTTCCAACCCAAGCGGTCAGATCAGGTAATTCACCTCATAAACCTCAGACTGATGAGGTGACCAAATGATCATTAACTGGCCACCTGCACGTTTGGGTCTATGGTCATTTACAAAATGAAGAATTAAACTGTCCCCAACCCCATGACTGCCATATGCCTAGTTAAATATTTGCGCTCTCTCTTGCTACCACTGACTTCATTCTATAAAATGTTAGTTGTCTGGCTGTTACTGATTTTAAATAATCCTGGGTTATGTACCCCTGCAATATACAGTCAATTACAATGTGGATATGCCTTTTGCCAATACTATTCAACTTATGGTATCATTACACTTCCATGTATATTGTAAGACTGACATGCACAATTGAATAAATAGAAGTTAAAAAAAAAAAAAAATACTGAATGACCTAAATCAAGTATGCATGGTGAGATATTAGTGAAAAGTCCTGATAAAATCTAGTGCAACTGCATAAAAACCAATTAGCTGACAAGTTTTTTGTGAAAGCTTAAAACGAACAAAATACCATGCACAGCTGCACCAGATGATGCTCTCTACAGTTTTAGTAAATCACCCCCAATGTGCTGTGACAGACATTTTACGGCAATGTTAAAAGTCTATCACCGCAAGTATGCACAGAAAACAATTGTTTCTTATGTGTCTCATTCACAGTGCAACACAGCATATGGCTGGGGTGCAGCATACTGCAATACAACACAGAAATGCTGTATTTTATCACAGCACACTGTGCTGAATCGAACGGCAATGTACAGAAGTGCAGTCTACTGCCATCATGACTGAATTGTATGTTTTGTACACTTCACAAAGTTTGTACAAAACAAAAAAAAAGGAACCATGTGATGCGCTAAATCGGGCAGCAAGCTACCCTCTACTGCAGCCGGCAAACAAGAGCTGCCAGATCAGTGAATTGCTCTGGCAGCTCTCTACGTTGCTGTGTAAAGTCACTCATAAGTAACCTTTTAGCAATCCAACTCTTTCACCCAAAGCTGAAATATTAACAAGGAATATAAAGTGATTAGAATTCAGAGCAGAACCAGTTTTAGGATCTATTACTAGCTAGGAAGAGGCAGCTTCTCAGTTAAAGACCTTCTGTAATTACACAGAAAGGGACTGCTTGTTGTCAAATCAGTCTGAAAATATAGCCTTTCCTGAAGTTTGAATTATCATTTTTATCTGTTACCTGCAGTAGTTTCATTAATTAGTCGTAGACAGTTGAGCCCAGCGATCTGTGTGGCATCCATTACAGACCTCCTCTCTGCATCAGTGAAGAAGCATGGAACCTGGAATAAAGAGAACACTGGACTACACATCATGACACACCTTTAGTTATATACACTAAATACTAGATAAACACTATAGACGTATCAGTGTTCAGATACTCATATTTCAGTCCCAATTAGATTCATAAAAAGTTATGATAAGGGCAAAAATGTGTCAACTTTGTGCTTCCTAAACTTGTCCTGATGTCCTACCAACAGGTTTGTGGTACACACACACACACACACACACACACACTTTTCCTTCGTACCGTTCTAGCTACGTTTGTATTTGCTCCTTGACTTATGATTTTATTTCCCTTAATGCATTCTCAGCATTACGGTAAAAATGCTTCAATGCTCAACCAAACCCCCCCCCCTCAATCTTAACTGAGCCAAATCTCGATCCAGAAATATGCATAAGACCAGCAGCTCTCCCCCTCCTCATTAGCTGAAAGACGGCATCAGGAGTCGTTGGCTCCCGTTGGTGTCAATCACAGCCAGTGAGGAGAGAGTAGGGGGCGGGGCTTGCACAAGTGCCCCCCTTAGCAGCGACTTACTATTGAGGCAAGTGTACAATCCAAAAGCACACATTCCTGCGTTAAAAATGGCTGTGTGTAAAAAAGGGTGCTGCAGCGACTGTCAACTGAAACCGAACAGAATCAGCAAGGGAGAATGTCACCAACACACAGAGGATCACCAAGATGGGTCCAAAAGTTTTAAGCAAAGATAACAGTTACAGCAAGGCAACGTGTCGGAGTCTCGCAGGACCCCTTTATCAGGCATGTGACCAAGGCTTTTACAAAAGGGGATGAGCCAGGAGCGCTGGTAGGGACCAGAGAACAGGAGGATTGGGGCTGCTCTATGTAAAACCTAGCACAGAGCAGGTAAGTAGAACTGGTTATTTATTATTATTAATAATGTTTATAATCACTTTAAAAAGCAGAGCTCCAGTCATCTTGTATTTTTTTTTTTTTTTAAATTACCCCTGCGATTGTTGCTGCAACTGTACTATAATCGTCATGCTGTATATTTGTTTGGGGCTTTTTTTTTTTTTTATATAAAATTCAGCATTACCTACAGTACCCCGTGGATCATGTAAGTGGCCATTGAACTAACTGTGGCGTACTATGTGTATTGCAGGTTGCCAAGGCAATGGCAGCGTCTGAGGAATTTCCCGCCCTGTTATGGCAACTGGCAACCTGTCAATCAATCATGCGCCTACCTCCCCCTGGCATTGCATCATTTGTCTGTTTGAAATAAAGCAATGCTAGAAACGGAGGATACCCTTTGACTCCTGATGATACCGATATCCTAGGAGTCAACAGGAAAAAGGAAAGGTAGAACAGAAGTGGAACAATTACTTACATCTAAGGAGGTACTAAAACTAAACAAACAAAAAAAATGACAATATCCAAAAATTAATGGCACAGGGATGGGCGACAAATGTTTCCATGGTTGCAAAATAGGGTGGAACTCTTAAAGTAGCAGTAAACTCTTATTTTTACCTACCGGTAAGCTGACAATAAGGCTTCCCTGTAGGTCCAATGAACATCTCCTAAACATACACAGTTTAGGAGATAGCCCAGTGAGCGGCAGCCGGTGATGTCACCAGGGCAAGCGTTCTGAAGAAACGGGCATACCTGTGCTGTTCCTTCAGAGGTGTGCGACATGGCTGACACTCCCCGCACGCATGCGTAGGAGTGACGTCATCACAGATTGGCCATTTAAGTGGCCGCAGACCACAATCCCAGAGGAAGGACTGGGTGAAAATAGAAGCCTCTGCAGCAGCGACAGCAGGCCACTGGAGGGTTTCATTTTCAGGCAAGTCTTTCATAATGTGCTAGTATGCGGTGCATACTAGCACATTATATTGCCTTACTACTGCATATTATATTGCCTTACTACTGCTTTAAAGTATTGAAGCCAGATTGAGAATTCCTCCTTCATGCTGATCACCGGATTCAGACCGCTAAAAAAAGGGGTCTCCAAACTTTCTAAACAAAAGGGCCAGTTTACGCTTACTGGAAAATGCTTCGACATAAGTGGGTCTAAACAATGCCCTATCTTTGGTGTCACTGGTTGAAAAAGAATCATGCCCCATTGTTGGTGTCAGTGGGGGCATTGTGCCCCATTGTTGGTGTCAGTGTGGAGCATTGTGCCCCATTGTTGGTGTCAGAGAATGAAATACTGCTCAAAGGGCCAGAAAAAAAAAAAAAAAAAAAAAAAAAAAAAAAAAAAAAAGGAAGAGGCAAAGAGCTGCAGCCAGCCCACAGGCCAGTTTGGAGACCACTGCAAGCCTGACACAGAAAACAATCAGCATGTTCAGAAGGAGTTCATTAAAGGCAACCCCCCACTTGTTAACCACTTCCCGACCGGCCGTTGTATATAAACGGCCGGACGGTGGCACTGCAGGGTCGGGTGGCCGTCTATAATCGGCCTCCCCGCACCCTGCTTGTGCGCGCTCCCTGGGAGCGTGCAGCACCGCGATCCGGTGCCCGCTGTGTCCTCCGGACACAGTGAAACACCGATCGTCGGACGGGACCGCTGTACGAGGTCCCGATCATGTGATCACTGATTGGCCAATCAGTGATCACATGCAAAGTAGTAAGCAAGATGTCACTTCTGACATCATTGCTTACTATGTGTGAAATCTGTGAATGATCACAGAGGTCACATGGTACAAGGCTATTCACAAAAGCCTTGTACCATGTGACAAGCTGTGACCAATCACAGCTCACTCAGGTCTTCTCAATGAGTGCATGAATGCACACAGAGAGAAAGAGAAATGATTGCTTTTACATCCTATATGGGTGTAAAAGCAATCAGTGTAAAAAAAAAAAAAAATCTTCATCACCCCTCACAAGTAGTACAGTGTCACCATGGTGACACTGTACTGCTAGGGTGACAGTATGTAAAAAAAAAAAATAAAGAAAGAAAAAATAATATAAAAAAATAAAATAAAAATGTAAAAAAAAATGTTTAAAAATTATAATTTTTGCTTATAAACTAATTTGGATTTTTTTTTTTTTACTAAAAAGATAACGGAATAAATTTTAGCTAAGATTTATGATGAAATATTATTTATTTGCAAAATTTTATTTAAAAAAAACCACTTTTTTTCAAAATTTTTGGACATTTCATTTACATAGCAAAAAAAAAATACAAATCCCAGTGGTGAATAAATACCACCAAAATAAAGCTTTATCTATCTCAAAAAAATGGTAAAAAATTCATTTGGGTACAGTGTTGCATGACCGCGCAATTGTCATTCAAAGTGTGATAGCGCTAAAAGCTGAAAATTGCCCTGGTCAGGAAGGGGGTAAAAGTGTCCGGTCTGGAAGTGGTTAAACACTGCTGCCTCATGAATGTAAAAAAAAAAAAAAAAAAAAAAAAAAAGGATTTCAGGTACTGACTGAACCTGGTATGCAGATTCAATCAACGCCCAATTATAAGAAATATGAAGAATTGAAATATAGAATGTAAAGGAAGTTGGAAAGGCATGCATACACAAACTTTTTACACCACAATCCCTGCACTCTTTGCTAAACATGAAGTTAAGCCTTATGACAAAAAGATACTTACTGCAACAACACAGTCTACTACAGGCTTCTTTAATGCACTTTCTGCAGTTTCTTTAAGTTTGGTCAGTAGCATGGCAGTCACCTGCTCAGTAGTAAAGGTCTCTCTCCCTCCAAATACATGAGCTAAAAAATAAAAAAATGTGGTATTATATTTTGGCATTGAAAAACAAACCCTGTACAGCATCTGGAAAATGGTAGTCTTCTCTTGACTGGATCCCCAAACAAGCGTTTAGATTTCAACTAAAATGGTAAAGGTTACTTAACAGGTGGTGCTGCCGACAATTCAATGGGATTTTAGCAATGCCATCTTAAATAGGTACTGTTGGAATGCAAATTCTGATGCCATATTAGCATTTCCCGGGCTTACCACCTCCCTTGGTTAAACCCTTCAACTACAATTTAGGACTAGGTTCTACATTATTTTTGCTGAAGGCTCTCGTGGCATAGGTGGCCTATTGGTATTTATGCTAATGATGGTATAGTCTTCAGCTCATTTAACCACACAAGCCTCGCACTAAATAATAGAACAGGAACCATCAGACATGCAGAATAAATTCTGTATACAGCAACAATATATTAATGAAAATCTCAGATTCAAATTATGTAATAAGCGCACATGGAAAAACTGGGTACTAAACCTATTTAAAAGCCATGAAGAATTGCCATTGAAACCAGACAAACCCTACTAATGAAAGAGCATTTAAAAACTTTTTATTTACCTTGAAACCAGTGGAGCCCATTGGCAGCTCAACAAGCTCACAGGCCAAACCAGGCTTCTCAGCCTGGACAAATGGGTCAGTGTAGGCTCGCCCATGAAACCTTTTAAAGCCTTGCAGCGTGTTCTTTGCATTGGAAATGACCTAGAGAAAACAAAGCCAAAAAGTTACTCAGCATGTTTTTGGCTGACATAAGCAAGAGGAAATATTGAAGTACAAACAAGTCTGTATCAACCATAGGAAATGAACAATGCAAAAAAAAAAAAGAAAAGACAAAACCATTAGCTTAGGGGAGAAGTGGCTGAATGTACTGCGTAATACATTTTTATATTACTATAAAACTTAACTAGAACCACCCAGTGAACTTGGATTTGTGAAGTTTTTTGGAATAAAAGTTTCAGAAACAATGTGGCCAATTTAGAACATGTGTCAGATGAATAGGTTTTTGTCCATGGATTCAATCAATAAGTAAATGACAGAAGCAATGTGAATGGTTGCTATGAGCAGTGCATTTCCATTTTTATAGCTACAGCAATACCTCGGTTTACGAATTTAATTCATTCTGCAGGACTTTTCGTATAGCAAAAAATTTGTAAATCGAAACACCGTTTCCCATAGGAATGCACTGAAAACCAATTAATCCCTTCCGGGGGTCACAAAAAAGTAAAACGCTACTAAAATACCGAATAAGTTATTTTATTAAGTCATGCAGTATTTTAGTAGTGACAACCATGTGTTAATGTTTCAGCTGTCAGCGGGGTTCCCCACTGACAGCTGAATGTAAAATAATTGTCAGCAATTAAAAAAATGTTGTGGGGTTCCCCCTCCCATCCATACCAAGCCCTGTCCCCCGCAGTAGATCCAACGCCAATCACAATGAACGCAGTCACCGCTGCTGACCCGGGTGGCCCCGCCCCTTACATATGTGAGAACTGTCAAGCTAGCTCAGAGGGCTGAAAGCCATTTTCGGGAACTTTTTTTTTTTTTTTTTTTTTTTGGGTCGACGGCGGGCATCTGGATTGATGTTGGATCTACTGCGGGGGACATTCTTTACGTTTTTTCTTTTAATAAAGGACTTGTCAAAGATCGTGTCCTGTCTTATTTCACACTACACTTTTTGTGAATGAGTAGCGGTACCATGTACCCCATACTCATTCACATGGGGGGGTTGGGATCTGAGGGATCATGTTGAGGGCATGTGGCCAGGTATGGTTTAGGAGGGGGGCGCTCACTCTTGCCCTCCCCCTTTTCTGACCTACCTGACTGCATGCTTGGATAAGGGTCTGGCATGGATTTTGAGGGGACCCCCCACGCCATTTTTTTTAAATTTTGGCATGGGAATTCCCCTCAAAATCCATACCAGACCTGAAGGGCTTGGTATGGATGAGAGGGGGGACCCCACGCCCATTTTGTTTATTATTGTGCTGGTTTTTAAATGTAATTACCGCTTTTTTTTTTTTTTCTTCACTATTAGCTCAGAAATTCAGCTGTCACTTCCCCCCAGCTAAAAGAGAAAAAAAAGTTTTTTTTTAGTTTATTTCCCCAAGTTAAAAGATCCTTTTAGTTTCTTAAAAGCAACAAAATTTCCTGCAACTCTGGGGAAAGTGACAGCTAATCTTGTGAGCTATAGTGAAAAATAAAAAAAAATAAAAAAATAAAATCAGCAATTGCATTTAAAAATCAGCACCGACATACACTTCATACTGCAAAAAAAAAAAAAAAAAAAAAAAAAAAAAAAAAAAATTGTAAACCAAGGCATTATTTTCAATGGATTTTCATTTGTAAACCGAAAATTACGTTAACCAAGGCATTCGTAAACTGAGGTACCACGGTATTTGCCACTTTTTTTTGTCCACTGTATTTGGACAAAAAAAAAAAAAAAAACACACACCATAGGGCTTTATAGATTTCATAGGTAGATTGAAGCTTACTTGACTTTTTGCTGCTGCTCCAATGGATCTGCTTTTAGGACCAAATGAAATGCATGACCTATGAGACAGAAACAGAGACTAAAATGAAGCACAATATAAAAGACACTGGATGCATTGTCATAGCATTTAATACTTCAAACTACTTTCTACCTTTTATCATATTACTAGGTAATGCTTAAATGATACAAATTCCATTATATCAGCTCAGATCAAGGTCTCTGATTTAAAAGGATGAGTTCACCTTTTAACAAAAAAATAAATGCATTTTTTTTTGCAGGTAAAAAATAAACATTTATTTTTTGTTTCTAGAGCCTGTAAAGCTCTGCACCAGCAACTTGTAGTGTCCTCATTCCCAGAATACTGGCCGGGCGGTTCACCTTTTTTGTTTCAAAATTTTTTGTCGATAGGAAAAAGTTTGCGGATACTGGGGACTGTGTGTACTGCAGATGGGGGGGATAGGGGGGCGGCGGAGAAATGCAGGAGAGGAACAGTGTATACAGTGACTTGCTGTCACTATATGTTAGTGCTGGTTTTTAAATGCAATTGCTGTTTTTTTTTTTTTCCCTTCACTATAGCTCAGGGAATCAGCTGTCACTTTCGAGCTAAAAAGAAACAGTTTATTTTTAGTTTCTTATCCGAGTTAAAAGAAAGAAAGAGGACCTGTCACTTCTATGCTATCAAATAGGGGACTATTTGTCCCCTATGCGATAGCAATAAAATCAGAAGTTAAAAATTTTTTTTTTTTTTAAAATATATACATGAAAGTAGAAAAAAAAATAAAAACAAAATTAAAGCCTTCCCACGTACGCAGAGATTTCAGTTTGGTTTTCGGCCACATGCATTCTGAATTTACGATTTCGGTTTTGGCACCAGAATCTTCATTTTGGCGCACCACTACTTTTTGGTATTTGGGACAGGAAAATTGTTAGTGAACTAAGGAAATAGTTCAACAGCTGATGTGATTCACAATCCCTACACCTGCCCTTCTCCTCCAGGTGATTGCTCCGGCTCACCTCTGTAGTTTCATTCTTTTCCAATGTGCAAACTGCAATGTGCCAAAATGCCCCCATGAGCTATTTTGCTGTGTTTGTCTCATGTAGGGCTGCCCATTGAAATCAATGGGCTGCCCTATGCATGTCATGGAAAATGCACCAAATAACATGTGCTCCTGCTACACAGTGTGAATGGGGCCTGAAAGTGAAATTGTGTTTACACCCTCCTGCTCCCTGAGCTGGACCTGGTTTACAAGAACATCTATAGCCGAGTATCTCTCTTCCCATGCATTTTTATAAAGCTGGCCATACACTGCAGTCTGATTGTACAATCTCTGTACAACTTCCTTTAGATTGACCAAAGCTATGTAAAAAGGAGGACCCACCAGAACAATCCATTCAATCAGGCAGCCCCTTACACTACATAGCTGATGGCAGAAGGAAAGGAAGGAAGGAAAGGAAAGAAAAGGTATATTAAGGAGGGAGGTGTGGTTCACAGATGTAAAAACACACCTTTTAGTCTGTGATGCAGTAAAGCAGTGCATGATGGGATATAAAATTGCCTGGATGACCCCATGATGCCACAGGAAGTCAGGTCTCAAAGAACTTTTTTCAAATTTTGAACAGAGAGGTGAAGATTCAAAGTCTATTTATTACAAAAAGTCAAATTCTATCTGAAAAGGTGAACTTAGCCTTTACAGGGATGTGCAAATCATATCGTTGGTTGCCCAGGACAGTTGCAGGCACCAGGTTTTTTTTTTTGTTTGTTTTTTTAATTTTTAGCCCTGCTGTGGGCAAGCAGCCTCTTTAGCCTGGGTTCACACATGTACAGAAATCGCAATGCTTCTTTGTGAATACCATTCCAGTTTCTGTGCAATTTCATTACTCTCTCTCCACAACCGCAATGCAAAAGACACCTGTCAATAGCAATCCTATATAAACATTTCATTTCTCTCCGCATGCCACTCTACTCTATCACTTGCAAGTCTGGAACACACAGCTACAAGCTCACACAGGACCGTTTACGTAATACCACTCAAAACACAAGCCTGTCATGCAAATCTGTGTGTTTGAAAACGCATGTCTGAACCAGGTTGGCTTCATTAACACCTGGGCATTTTGGGATTGCAGCAGAATTGTTGTAATTCTGCCCGGAATCGCAAAATGCATGTTCAGATGCCATTATTTTCAATGGCACCTAAAATGTGATGCGGTTCTTTCTGGACGACAAGCTTCACGCAACGTTATTTGCCGCAAGTAAATCATGCTACAAAGCTGCACCACGTTTTATGTGCCATTAAAAATAAATGACACTTGAACCTGCATTTTGAGATTGTAGTGCATTTTGAGAATATGAACAGAATCGCAACGATTCTGCCACAATCCCAAAACACCCAGGTGTGAATGGAGCCTAATGGAGTGGACGTCAGAGCTTGATTCGGATGCTCAGCAGGAGCTAGTACTGAGCACCCAAGTGCTTCCGTGTGCCAGGGTATCCTGAAGGAATAAAGTTTTTTGTTTTTTTCCCCTCATTGAGGCCGGCTCCTTATTTACTCGATCAGCAGATGCACTTTTGCTGAGCATTAAAAGAGCCCAACACTCCTCTTTCCTGACCAGAACCCAACTGGTGCTCATCACACTGCAAGGTCTCTCCCCTGCCTGCTAGTTCCTGGGTGCGGTGCTGAAGACATGCAGGGCAGTGAGGAGAAAAACAGCGCAATGTTAAAAACATTCCAAGTTTAAGTCATCTTAAAGCCCCTTTTGTTTTTAGAAGCCCCAAACATTCCTAAAAGCACCTGTGCCTTATAAAAAATGTCAACACACACTTTTTAATTTTTTTTTCTTTAATCAGGATGAGTAGATAGGGAGCCCAATTTAGACCCTTGGACAGGAAGTTTTCAAAATAATTTCTAGATCCCTGCCTTTAATGACGAACATCAATAAAACAGATCTTTAAAGACAAATCTAAATGCTAATGGGCTGCCAAATGACCATTTTTTTTATGGTCATCAAAACAAGTGTCAAGAGACAAGAACCAAAACACGATACCAACTGGCATAGGAACCTATAGTAATGTGCTCTCCCTATACCATTTACCAGCATATATCATATCAACAGCAAACCTTAGTAACCCCTATTTGGAGGGAGAAAAACAGCATGGTGAAGGTTTTCTACCTAAACGCAGGTAATGCAATAAGGTAAAAAAAACCCTTTTGACTTCAGAGCCACTTAATCCACAAAAATGTCATATTTTACTTTACCAGTCCTTAAATATGTTGGCAGCATTAGCTTTTTTTTTTTTTTTAAGGCGTTGCTGTTTTTTTTTTCACCTGATTATCTGCCCATAACACACCTCCTGTCTTAGGGTGATTTCATTCTATAGAAGGAACAATGGAGCCACCACTGGAAAACACCAACCTGTCAAGGGGGTAGCATTAGATGCACTATTAGATAAATAGCCACTATTAATGTAAAGTGCCAAATACAGCAAGCCCTGTTCCACGGGACCAACTGTACCCAATTACAGCTGCCACAATGTAAACAAACAAAAGGTCCTTTTTCACTTACCACCTCTCATTACCTCACACAGAAACCGTATGTGAGGAAAGGAGAGTCAGTTTGTGCTGGATCAGTAAGTTTGTTTACATACTGTGACCATTACAGTATCACACACAAATACCCAGAACTGCCACACCAGTCATCCACGCCAATGCAGCCTCATCAGTGCCCTGATTCAGGCACATCTGCCCCAGTGTCACTGCAGTATGGTGTCACCAGAGCCAGCCATATCCAAAAAAGTTTTACACAAGCCAGAACCCATTTCAAATCCTCAGCATGACAGAGCTCTCACTATCCAATTCAGATTCGGAGTACAGAATGTATATCAGGGTATAATTCTAACAATACATGCTGTGTGTAAGAAACAGAAGAGGAGACATATGGAGTATATGCGCTTATATTCCATTAAAATATGCATTTCTTTACTGGTTTACGCTATAGGGTGTTTTTTCTTTTCCATGATGCATAATATATATATATATATATATATACATACACACACACACACACACATATATACACACACACACACACACACATACACATATATACACACACACACACACACACACACACACACATACATATATACACACACACAGTGGGGATCGAAAGTTTGGGCACCCCAGCTAAAAATTTGTATTAATGTGCATAAAGAAGCCAAGAAAAGATGGAAAAATCTCCAAAAGGCATCAAATTACAGATTAGACATTCTTATAATATGTCAACAAAAGTTAGATTTTATTTCCATCATTTACACTTTCAAAATAACAGGAAACAAAAAAATGGCGTCTGCAAAAGTTTGGGCACTCTGCAGAATTTATAGCATGCACTGCCCCCTTTGCAAAGCTGAGACCTGCCAGTGTCATGGATTGTTCTCAATCATCGTCTGGGAAGACCAGGTGATGTCAATCTCAAAGGTTTTAAATGCCCAGACTCATCTGACCTTGCCCCAACAATCAGCACCATGGGTTCTTCTAAGCAGTTGTCTAGAAAACTGAAACTGAAAATAGTTGACGCTCACAAAGCTGGAGAAGGCTATAAGAAGATAGCAAAGCGTTTTCAGATGTCAATATCCTCTGTTCGGAATGTAATTAAGAAATGGCAGTTATCAGGAACAGTGGAAGTTAAAGCAAGATCTGGAAGACCAAGAAAAATATCAGACAGAACAGCTCGCAGGATTGTGAGAAAAACAATTCAAAACCCACGTTTGACTGCACGATCCCTCCAGAAAGATCTGGCAGACACTGGAGTTGTGGTACACTATTCCACTATAAAGAGATACTTGTACAAATATGGTCTTCATGGAAGAGTCATCAGAAGAAAACCTCTTCTACGTCCTCACCACAAAAATCATCGTTTGAACTTTGCAAATGAACATATAGACAAGCCTGATGCATTTTGGAAACAAGTTCTGTGGACCGATGAGGTTAAAATTGAACTTTTTGGCCAGAATGAGCAAAGGTACGTTTGGAGAAGAAGGGGCACAGAATTTAATGAAAAGAAC